GGTGATTTCTGAAGGCTTAAAAAACCCTTCAGATGACAAGACAAAGACCCAAACTTTGGGTTTCTAACAGGTGTTTGCTGCTGCAAATGGCTATTTCATGCCTGCGGGGAATGATTTCAGTAATAAATACTCAGCTCTGCAGTTGATTTTCTGATTCTTGTCGTTTTGTTACTTTTTATGGCAGAAGTATTAGGTTCCAAAGTGTTAATTACCATTTCTCAGGCAGTTTGCACAGCTGACCCTTAGCCTGGTTTTGCAGGAAAGATTCAGAATAGTTAGGAACCTGCTCAAAGTCACAGAGCTAGAAAGTGACTTGACCAGGATTTGGACATGGTTCCAAATGGCTCCAAATGGCTCTTTCTATTTTGTCACAGTGTCATCTGTCTATAACTAACTTTATTGGATGTCTGTTTGTTGTCAGGCTGCATCCTGGTAACCCTCTGTGTTTCACCCTCTGTTTGGGCAGAGCCTTTGAATATTTCATAAAGGAATTTTTTTTCAATTTCTGACCTCGTGTCTGTGCGTCAATCCCAAACTGGAGGAATGGAATACTGAGGATCTCCCAGTCTTGTCCTTTCACCAAATCAGGTGCCAAACACTCACTGTGCCCCTGGCATTGTGTGAGGCCCTACAGGAGATGCCAAGATCAGTAGATTAGTTCTTCCCTTACAATATATAAGGGGAACAAAATAATTTTGCAAATAATGATAACACAGCATCTTACAACTGCCATAAAAGTGGTATAAAACCCACTGTGGGGAGTCAAAGTTGGAAGAATTCTTATTTGTTTGCCATGAGAAAGGAAACCTTCATAATGGAGATATCATAGAATTAGACCATGAAAGACGGAGAAGCTCTCCAATGGCAGTTCTCAGGGAGAACACATGGGCACAGGTGATAAGCAAATATTTACGTTTGCAAAAATAAAGAGCAGAGTGTGGGAATGAAGAACACTCAAACTTTCTGGGTCACAGCATGAAAAAAAAGCAGGTTTGGAGAAAAAATAGGAATTATTGCAAAGGTTTGGATCACAAAAGGCTTTGAATACCGAGCTTGAGTAATTGAATCCACACGTTCTTGGAGATTCTAGGATTTCTACAATTTTATTTGTAGGAGAACCTCAGATTGTGTGTGAAGAGGCATGTTTTTGTAAGAGCTTTATTTGAAAGATGATGAATTGGGAAAGACTGAAGAAAGCAGACTGGAATGGGGAAAGACCAGAGGCCGAGAAAACACTGATGGTTTGCACCATGGATTAAGGTGAAATGTAATAAGGATTTGAAAACGACTAAGAGTGGTGAGAGTAGAGGGGGAAGGGGGTTGGCATCTCCTAGCGTTTTCATCACAACCACATGCACCATGCCTTGACTCTTGTAGAGATATTAAGAAATGATATTGCTTGTAGCAGCTCCAGTTGGTAGAATTGACAGCTGCAAAGATTCACTTTTTCCTTTCTTAACTTAACACTGTCAAATGTAGCATTTATTACCCTGAGCAGGTAGTCCAGATTTCTGCTTTGTCTCATTAGCTGGGTACAAAAATAAGTTGGTGAAAACCCAGCGACACTGCATTTAAAAAGAACATCAAATATCTGAAGAAAAAAAATAAACTTACTGAAGATTAGAGATGGGTGACTTATGAACTGCTGGAATGAGCCCCAGAATGGGAACCAGGAGGTTGGAATTCTTGCAATGGTCTGTCCCTATCTAACTGTGGCTTGGGGACAGCCATACACTCTTTCTGAGCTTCAGTGTCCTTCTGATCAAAGGGTGAGGTTGGGGCTCTGTAGGCTTTCAACTCTTCCCAGTGATAGAGCCCTTGGTTCAAGTAAGTCCTTGTGAGGAATCCAAGACGTAAAACAGATACATGAGGGGTGCCCCAGTGGCTCAGTCAGTTAAGCATCTGACTTTGGCTCAGGTCATGATCTCACAGTTCATGGGTTCACACCCCACGTTGGGCTCTGTGCTGACAGCTCAGACCCTGGAGCCTGCTTCGAATTCTGTGTCTCCCTCTCTCTATTCCCTACACCCTCTCTCAAAAAATAAATAAACATTAAAGTTTTTTTTAAACAGATATATGAAACATGCAGTGGTAAGACTGGGGTGAGAAGCTTGAATCTTGCTTGGCCTCTGTATAAGCTTCCCTGCCTCCAATCTCTGGGGCTCTACGAGGCATATCAGAATTCTAGTGACATTGCAGATTATTAGATCGTCTCACATATTTCTTTAAGCTCATCATAGTGACTCATGAGTTTCCAGGCAGAAGTTCCACATTGAGTTACTTATTGCTTTCATGATCCTGAGTTTTCCAGAAAGATAAAGTTACATTCTATACATGGCAGCTTTCTCTCAATGCCTTAGACATCTCAAATTTCTTCTTGCTTTGAGATTTTGCTTTAGTTGAGCCAGGGCAATCTTTTCCCAAGTTTCTCCATATTTTCACATGATTTTCTTCTTTCTCATCATTTAAACCTCTACCTAGATAGGTTCCCAAGGAGTCCTTCCATTAGAGGCCAATTTGCCAGGAAGCTCTTCCTGCAAGGGACCCCAGGAATGTGCTCACACAATGATATGTTTGGAAAAGTTACTTGATTATAATGACTGTGTCCTCCTCTCATTTTTCCCACTGTCACACTTTTCCTTGTGGATATCTTTTGAAACATCATGCCTTAATTTCCCCCTCCACAAAATGAGAATAATAACAGTGTCTAACTCCCAGTGTGCTTGTAAAGATTACGCATGCTCATACATGAAGAGTGCTTACAACAGTTAGCAACTGGTATGCAATAAATGCTCATTATTTTATTGTTGTCACCGTCCCGAGAAATCAGCGCAACAGTAGACATCCTGCTGGGCTCAAGTTCAGGCCAGGCCACCGTAGACTGTAAGTAACTTACTAATACTAAAGTCTCCCCGCCCCCTTATCTGAAACTTCATGTTCTGTACTTCCAGTTACCCACAGTCAATATAGTCAGGAGTCAGACGATCCCCTTTCTGATGTATTTTCAGAGGGTCAGTAGTAGCTTAACACCACATCACAATGCCTACATCATTCACCTCCCTTCATCTTATCAGGTATACATTTTACAATCTCACATCATCACAAGAAGAAGGTAAGTAGAGTACAATTAGATATGTTGAGAGAGAGACAGAAAGCAAGACACCACAGCACATAACTTTTGTTACAGTCTATTGCTATCATTGTTCTTATTTTTAGTTATTGCTAACCTCTTACTGTACCTAATTTATGGATTAAGCTTTATTACTGGTACTTAGGTATAGGAAAAAACAGAGTATATACAGCATTTGGCACTATCTTGGTTTCAGGCATCCTCTGGGTGTCTTGGAATGTACCCCTGTGGGCAAATGGAGATAATTGTACTAAGAATATCAAAGCACAAATGGCTGAAACTCCTTCTCCTAGAGTTGTTGTAACTTTCAGAGAGAAGGAGCTTAATTATCTCCCTCTGCGATATCTCTAGACAGAAAATTCAGTGTATGTTTTTCTTATTTTTTTCTCCTTAAGAAAAGTACTATCTTTGAACTTGATATAACATTGGGATGGAAGCAGGAGAGGGAAAAATCCCATATATATATATATATATATATATATAT